GTGAATCAGTATATTGGTTTTGTGCAATGTCCGTCTTGCTGTCCGTCCGTCCGTTTGTCCGTCTGTCCGTCTGTCCGTATGAACGCAATCTATTTCGGCGCTATTGAAGCTAGAGACTTGAAATTTGGAACACATACTCGTGTATATCTCCGATTTATAAAGTGTTAAAATTTTCCCGATCCGCCCACTAGGGGCGTGGCAAATCGGAAAATGCATTTTCCGATATACCAGAAATCATGTTTGTTGAAGAGCTAGAAAGCTGAAATTTGGTATGTAGGTCCGCGTTGACCACCCAAGATCACAAGCTATGGCAGATATATCTACGCCCATTGGGGGCGTGGCAAATCGGATAAAACTGTATCTCCTAAAGTTGTAAACCTAGAATGCTGAAATTTTGCACGTCAGCTACTGGTATGATTCTATAAAGTCTGAAGATAAATTATAAGTCTACGCCCATTGGGGGCGTGGCAAATCGGACCTGAAGATATAGTGATTTTTTAAATTCTCCTATATTTTGGACACTATTGATGGCAAAGACCTCAAATTTTGTATATATACTCGGACTGACCACCCAAGACCAAAAAGTTTTGTCGGATATATGTCCGCCCACAGGGGGCGTGGCAAACCGCAAAAGTTTATATCTCCTAAAGTATAATAGCTAGAAGCTTCAAATTTGGATAGTTGAGTTACTGGTAGCCTCCTCTATCGATTCCCTAAAAATAATTTTTACGCCTTATTAGAGCGAAACTTAACTACTAAATTGTTGATGGGATGTGAATGAGTATTCCGCAGTCGGTAACGCCCGACTGCAACATTCTTACTTGTTTTTTTTTTGTTTTTTGTTTAGAACCTCGTGTATTACAAAGTATTAACAAATACAACAAACTGAGTTTCCAAAATAAAAATTATAGCAAAAGGCTGTTTACTAGCTTGCTACTCTTACTGGAGATTACTTAGATCATCAGGACAACACACCCAAAGACCCACTGTCAGTGACTACCAGCGACTCAATAGGATAACACATTAACTCATGTCCCTAATAGCAGCAGATCAATAACATGTTTATCAGTAAGACTCTCAGGTATAGTGTCCGATATCCACCAATGTATCTCACATGTGAGGTCCTACTACTCTCCACTTCTCTCTACTGACGTCTTTTTCAACGACTTCAATTTCACATCTCCTTCCCCTCTAAGACTTTCTTTTCCTATACTCGTTTATCAACTTAAAATACAAATAAAATAAATAAGCTCATTCACATCAACATTTAAATCCTGGCAATTTTACAACAAACTATTCCTGCTCTTATTTCAAAAATTGCGACTTATTCACAATATGAATTATATCAGAATCTTTGTGCTGTTCAGCCATAAGATAATCACAAATGCATGAGAGATTTCTGTAAACATGACCCATTATTCTACCCTCTCTGTACTGTAATTCAAATGAATGAAAACATTTATAAATAAGCACACCATCTTTGTAAGATGTGTTACGTTTAATTCTTGATGCTTAGTTAATTACTATCAGTAAAAAAAAACGACAATATTTCTGTCCGTCCAATAATAATAATAATGAAAATGCTGTATAGCAACACCCACAGTAATTTTATTTGGTAAAAGGACACCAATGACACCAAAATGAAACTCGACTAACAAACTCGACAAATAAATGTTGTTTTTATACCCTGAACCCATTTTCAATGGGAAATCAGGGTATAATGGTTTTGTCCGTCTGTCTGTCTGTTCGTCCGTCCGTCCGTCTGTACGTATGTTTGAACGCTTCGATTTAGAAGATATATGAGCTAGAGACTTCAAATTTTTTTTTAATGTCCGTATTTACGGCGCGGATATCGAGTTTATCACTAAAAATCGATAGCTCATCCCGTTCTTTTTTATCGATAAAAAACTTTATCTAAAACCAGTTATAAAATTATATCTCCTACACCTTTATTGCTAGAGTCTCCACATTTTTTATGTATGCTTATATGCAATTTTTACAATTTCGGTTTTTGATAAAATTTACTCCCAACCCCTATATCCTCCCCCTAACCCTCACTTTTGTAAAAGGCGTATTTCAAATACTAGAGACTTGTGCTTTGGCAAATACATGCGTGTGTGTGTGCGTGTGTGCGTGTTTCTTGTGTATGCTGAAAGTCGAAAAACTATTGAAATAGCTATTGCTCCAAGGGTTCAGGGGATCTCGTAGTCGAGCAGTCTCGACTAGAGCTTTCTTACTTGTTTTTTCATGGGCTTTAACGAAGGATTTACAAAATTTTTGCATATTATATATTTCAGTATTACCACTGGCTTTCAGCATAAACAAGTAAGAAGGCTCCAGTCGAGACTGCTCGACTAGGAGATACTCTGAACCCTCCAAGCTGATATTCTAATCATTCTGCACTTCTTCTATGTACACATACATACACATGCACTTATATGCACGCGCTCTGCTAACTGCGCAGTTAGCAGCGACTGCGCTTGGGCTGCGCTGCAATGTGAACAATATTATGAAAATTTACTTGTTGAATAATTTCTTTTGTAGACATACAATCTTAATGACACTTTCAGAGCGTAATCATATGTTTAAAATGTGTGTACATTCCAAAGCACAAGTCTCTAGTACTTGAAATGCGTTTTTTACAAATTGGGGGCGAAGGGGGCGTGGTATCCAAAATATGTAAATTACAAAATCTTTGTGTCCATTAACTCTATATACAACGCAAATTTGAAGTCTCCAGGTCTAAAAGTGTTCAGACTAGGCTGACGGACGGACGGACGGACGGACAGACGGACAGACGGACAGGGCTATATCGACTCAGCTCGTCGTCCTGATCAAGAATATATATACTTTATGGGGTCTGCGATGATTCCTTCTGCCTGTTACATACTTTTCACAAAACCATTATACCCTGATTTCCCATTTTCAATGGGTTCAGGGTATAAAAAAGCACCGCAAGCCACGTGAACATGCACGAACATGATCCTCCTCGCTGCGCTGTTAATTTTGGGCAATTGCACCAATTCACATTCACCTCGTCAGATTTTAGTTTTACTGTTTTATAAATTTTTGCCTCTTGATGTCAAGCAAACACATTTCCTCCCGCGACGTCATCTTCCTTTTGTTAAATGTGAATGCTTTTAACTCGGTTTGCAAGTCACATCTGGTGCGCACATTTGAGGTAAAGGTCATGCGCTGCAATCTGCTATCAACTTGAGCCAGCCTAGCAAGCGTTACGGAAGCTGCAATCTCCTCGACATCCATTTTCAGCATGATTCGAAAGGCATTCACCGTAGAGCACCATGCCGACGCATCGGCGCCAACAAGGTCTGCATTGAGTTTTGGCAGAACAACCGCGTTTTTATTTGTTTTTTTGGAAATCGTTGCTTGAAAATGTTTTTACGTGTTCTGTTAAGTTTCTATTTTGCAACTCTATTAGTGATTTCCACGGCTCAGCTACGCTGTTAGGTGCCGAGCCCGATCCCACTTCTGATATAAACGCGACTTTAAACCGATTTATTTTCTAATCGCGCAGCGAGTTTCGGTGGCCGAAGTCTAGCATAGAACTGACTTGCGTCGCCCCCTTCGCCCCCAATTTGTATAAAACGCATTTCAAGTACAAGAGACTTGTGCTTTGGAATGTACACACATTTTCACCATATGATTACGCTCGGAATGTTTCATTAAGATTGTATGTCTACAAAAGAAATTATTCAACAAATAATTTCTCATAATATTGCTCACACTGCAGCGCAGCCCAAGCGCTGTCGCTGCTTTCTGCGCAGTTAGCAGAGCGCGTTGTTATACGCGCGTCTGGATGCATCTGTATGTATGTGTGCATAGAAGTGCAGAATGATTAGAATATCAGCTTAGAGCGCTCAAGGTATCTCCTAGTCGAGCAGTCTCGACTGGAGCCTTCTTACTTGTTTATTTACTTTTTAGACCGTTGATAAGCTCGTCTTAACACCGATTTTACCCCTAATCTTGGTGGTCTACCCGTGGGAATTCAAAGCTTCCCGAACTAATGCTCTTCTATTTCCTTGTGAAATCACTTGATTATTGCCGCTTATATAGTTTTTATACCCTGAACCCATTTTCAATGGGAAATCAGGGTATAATGGTTTTGTTGATATGTATGTAACAGGCAGAAGGAGGCGTGGCAGACCCCACAAAGTATATATATTCTTGATCAGGGCGACGAGCTGAGTTGATTTGGCCCTGTCCGTCTGTCTGTCCGTCTGTCCGTCTGTCCGTCCGTCCGTCTGTCCGTCTGTCCGTATGTATGAACGCGTCGATTTCAGAAGATATAAGAGCTAGAGACTTCCAATTTTTTTTTAAATGTTCGTAATTACAGCGCGCATATCAAGTTTATCATTAAAAATCGATAACTCATCCCGATCTTTTTTTATCGATAAAAAACCTTAGTTATAAAATTATATCTTCTACACCTTTATTGCTAGAGTCTCCAAATTTTTAATGTATGCTTATATGCAATTGATACAATTTCGGTTTTTGTTAAAATTTACCCCCCACCCTTAAATTCATCCCCTCACCATGACTTTTGTAAAAAGCGTATTTCAAATACTAGAGACTTGTGCTTTGGCAATTACATGCATATCCATGTCATAATCATAATCTGAAAGTTTCATGAAGATCGTACGTCCACAAAAAAGTTATTAAGCAATTAAGTTCTCATAGTAAGCGCACACTGCAGCCCATGCGTGTTTATGCGTGGTTGCTTGTATGTGTATGTGTGTGTGTATGTGTGTGTGTGTATGCGTTTGTGTCTGTATGCGTGTGTGTGTGTATGTGTGTCTGTATGCGTGTGTGTGTTATGTATACCTGTGTGTGCGTACGTGCGTGTGTGTGTGTGTGTGTGTGCGTGTTTCTTGTGTAAGCTGAAAGTCGCGAAAAAGTATTGAAATATCTATTGCTCCAAGGGTTCAGGGGATCTCGTAGTCGAGCAGTCTCGACTAGAGCTTTCTTACTTGTTTTCTATAGTTTTCCCTATTTTTAAGAAAATTTCCAATTAGATTTCTGTTTTTTTTCCTGTTTTTCCACCAATTTTATGGTAGCGCAGTCCAGATTCAAAGTATGCGTCAATCTTTGTTTTTCAACCAAAGCACTATGGGTAAAAAGTCAGATTTTTTGGCATAAATAAAAAAAAAAAATTTTCAGTATCCGCCCCAACTGTTTTCATATTCTCATTTTGAAAACTCCAGCCGACTTAAAAACAATTTTTATAAAATTTTGCGGACAGCCCATAAAGTTTTAAGCTTCGTCAAGGTAGCTGATTCAAGGTTACATGGTAAATTGAAGAAAGCGCGGGAAATGATGCTCTACTTTCAACGTGTGTAAATCTTTGGGTGTTTGAAATAGTATTCAATATTTTTTATGGAAATTATTTAGGAATCTTTATTAAATAAGATGAGTGAAAAATTTGTTGTAGTTCTGTGACTTATCGTCAAATTGTGCAAAGCGTTGCTATTGTGCATTTGTAGATAAAAACTAACATTCATATGTGTGCTTCGTTAGATATAACTTTTGATCCCTCAAAGGTATTTGAAATGTTTAAATTGGAAGCTATGTGTAAATCTTTGCTTAATCCAATAATAAAAAGACTTCTTTCTCATTCTTGCTCCTTCACAAAATAATCGACATGTTGCAATTACAGATGAGCTCTGCAATTCCATGCTGCTAGAAGTGCGGAGCAGCTACAAGCGACAACAAAGCGCTATAAAAGATTATTTCGTTAAAAAATAAGTAAAGAGAAAATATCGGACGATAAATATAAATCAATTAACTATAAAGTAAAAAAAATTGTTGGATTTATCAAGTATCATTTAACAAAATGCAACCGATTGCTGATTAGAGTCAAGTATCAAGGTCAATGCGTACGCAAGATCACCTAAAAGATCAGGTTAGAAGCAATTAAATTATAACGATGCTGGTCCACGATTAAAAGAGAAATCGGCTTCTGAGCTTGCCTTAGAGTATGATAACACGACGCCTCTCTGCATTAGTTTCGCTTAAAAAATTAACGGAAAAGGATACAATATTAGTTTTGAAGTAATAAATCTAATGACGGCAACGCAGCAAGAAGAGCTTTTGGAAATGTTGAGTTGTTTTTTTACCATTTTAAATTTTGACCAATAAATCTTATCAACCGTTTCTATAATATTAATTGCTATCTTTTGTGAGCATAAGGTGAACTCCGGGAAATTTAAAGCCCTGTGTGAGAAAACATTCAATTTATGTTTGTTATATTATATTTTATATATAATATTTTTGCTATCCAATGCCCCCAACTATCCACCACATTTTGGTGCATGGGCATCAAATAATGGACATCTGTATACTTCCAGTTGAGAGCTTGAGAGAGCACATCTGAAGCACGAAATAAAATTACAAAAACAATCGAATATCCCATGCTAGGAAGTGCAGGCGATTACAAAATATAAGTGGCATATTCAATAGAGCACTCGACTCATCAGACCCACTTAAGCGAAAGGGGTGGGGGCGTGGCTCTATTAAAAAAAAAAACCGAAATTATAAAAAATTCATATTAATATGTATACAAAATTTCAAGCTTCTATCACTTCAGGGACAATTAATGCCAAAAATTCGGTCTTTTTACCCATAGTGCAAAGATAAAACTGTTTCTTTGCACATAATATAAATATATTGAATACTTTGAGCTTCATAAAAAGTTTGGTGAGTGTAATTGCCGCAGCAGATAATTACAATTGCAGTTGGGGGCGCTAATCTGATGACGCAAAATAAGTGCACGCATTCTTTACGAAAATAAAGAAGAATAGAAAATAGAACAACGGGTTTTCATTCGCGCTTTCTTTTGGTCTGAGATACATCTCATATGATGATAATGAAATCAAAACAAAAACTAAGAAGTTGCGTGCAATAGGCAAAGAGAAAAACGTAAATGAAAATGAGTGTAAGAAAGGGCGCTAACCTGATGACGCGCAGTGTATATGCAATGGAATTCGGTTATAACGATTCCGCTTAAAGCGTCCAACCGATTATGTCGACGAAAATTCGATGTCTTGGTTGGTCCCCATATATGAAAGAGCCTCCGCTTAGTATGTCTCCGCTTTTAACGACAATTCGCTTATCCCGACGATTTTTTCATATTTTTAAGTCATTTAACGGTTATTACGACGTGCCGAAAAAACCCGAAATAATGACAACAAATTTCAGCATTATAAAAAGACGCTGTTAAAAATATATATATTGTTGGGCCAAATTCACTCATCTTTATTGTTTAGCTTGAATTTTATACCTATATTTTTATATTTGGGTTCACCCTAATTACTTGCTTCTCGTGCATTACTTGCATTAATTCGCATCAATTCGCCTAGCTCTAAACAAGCTGCGCTTGCTCATCCGTTTGTACTTATAGTCTATATCAAGAACTCTACGAATAAACGTCGCACCTACGATGCGCTGAATTTAATATACGGTTCATTTGTTTAGTGAGAACAGCACCCCCATACTCTGAAACTCACGTAGACAGAAAAACGCTTCTGATCTTACATATATGTATGTATTTATCAGTGATCAGTACCCTCGCAAAAACACATTACCAAAAAATGACACCTCAAAAGTCTGCGTACATTTTAAGTTTGCTGCGTACAGCGCTGGAATTCACGATCACCGTTAGTTTTTGCATGTTTCTTTAATTCCTCTTCGCTCATTTGCGTAATATGCTATCACTTTGAAAAGAAATTTGGCACGCGTTTCATCATGGAGCAAAAAGGGAAAGAAATATCGGTAGAAGTTCGTAAGCTTATATTAAAATATAGGTTAGAAGGCAAATCCTACCGAGAAATTGGTCTATTGGTAGGCAGAACTCATTCTTCGTGCCAAAGAGTCTACGACAATTATGTCTCATCGGGCTCTATATTGTCAAAGCCTCGTTCAGGCCGCCCACCCTTGCTCACGGAACGAGAGAAAAAACGTATTGTTCAATTGGTACCTCAAAATCCAATGATATCTGCTCACCAAGGACGTCTGGAAGTTGCAGAACGTTTCTCCAAAACTGTTTCTGAGGAAACCGCTCGACGCACTTGGAAAAAAGCGGGGTATCATGGCCGCGTTGCACGTAGGAAGCCACATGTATCAGAGGTGAACAGGAAAAAGCGAATGGACTTCGCCAATGAGCACATTTCCAAGCCTTCTAGCTTCTGGAAAAGGGTAATTTTCTCAGATGAGAGCAAGTTTTGCCTATTTGGCATAAAAGGAAAGAAAATAGTATGGAGAAAAAGCGGAACAGCCATGGATAAGGAAAATTTATTGCCTACAGTAAAGCATGGTGGAGGTGGTGTAATGGTGTGGGGATGTATGGCGGCTAGTGGCGTGGGAAATCTCTCTTTTATAGAATCAACAATGGACCATAAGGATTATATAAAAGTCTTAGTGAGAATCTGCATCAGAGTGCCCAGAAATTGCACCTGGAGGACGAATTTTGCTTCCAACAGGACAATGATCCGAAGCATACAGCCCACAATGTAAAGCTCTGGCTACTTTACAATGTAAAAAGCCAACTCCGAACGCCTCCCCAGTCCCCAGACCTCAATCCTATTGAGCATCTATGGGACTTACTCGAGCGTAGGATTCGGCAGCACACCATAAGGTCTAAGAACATGCTGAAGGAGGTCATGATGGAAGAATGGGGCAAAATAACTGCAGAGGACACTAAAAAGCTGGTTGAGTCAATGCCTCGCCGTCTGGCTGAGGTGTTAAAACGAAAAGGGTATCCTACAAGATACTAACAACTAACAAATTCCAGCGCTGTACGCAGCAAACTTAAAATGTACGCAGACTTTTGAGGTGTCATTTTTTGGTAATGTGTTTTGTTTATAATTTTTTTCTATATTAGGTTTAGTTTTAATAATAAAATGAAAACATAATTATGTTAATAAATAAATGAAAATTGTTATACAAAAAGAAGTATTGCATTAAGTCTTCTATATTAAATACAATATACATGTAAACTTAGAAATAGGGGTTTGTTTGCAAGTGTACGCAGAGTTCTGCGAGCAAGTGTATATATATAAATATATGGATTAGAATTAGATAGATTTAAACAATGCCCTATATTGTCACTCAACTGATCAGCCATGTTAATTAACAAATTTCAAGAAAACGATAATTTACGAAGAAGTTAATGAGTGCGAGATAGGCGAAAAATGCTTTGAATGATTTAACATTGGAATGAGCTCAAGCGTCATAGCCTACGGCCTTCAATAAAATGAGCGAGAATAAATGAAGCCTTAAAACGGAATGAATCACTCGAGCTTATGCATGATTTTTATACTTCGTATTTGCTCGCTTTGAGAAAATCTGTGCGTTGCGACAGCTCAAACATACATACATATGTCTGTATGTACATGATCACATTTTCATATATTATGCTCTCTTTTGCGTTACTCTCTCTCTGTCTCTTTTACTCTTTCTTTCTCCCTATGAATTCTCCCTCTATATGCGCACAAGCAGGCACACACACTTACAGTCCCGTGCTACATATATGATCACACTCCAACTCCTTCAATTCTTTTTTGCTCGGCTGAATATTCTGCCTTGATTCATATATGTATGTACGGGCGCACCCTTTCACTCAGCCGTTTTCGGCTTAGCTTCTATGTCACTCAAAATATATACATACATTGTAAAGAAACTTCGGCCTATCCCGAGTCTAAGCAGGGCTAGTTTCAGCTGACTGTGAGTATAATAATTAGTCACTTGTGATTTATGGTACAAAAAAGTAAAGTATATTGTCTTGAATAAATTTATAAATTTAGTATAATTATGTGATGATTCGCTTTCGCGAGGCAGACCTGCCACAGGAGACCGAGTGCTGGCTCAGCGTACTCCGGCTGGGAGAGTGTTGTGCTAAGACACGCTAGTTTCACTCCCTCTGGATGTCCTTGCTGTTCCGAGAATATCCTGGGAGTCCTTTGAAGTCCTGATTTGCCACTCGCGTTGACTTTCACTTATCACTTTTGCTCTCAGAATCTTCACTCTCAATAATCACTCTCACACGTAACTCTTTTGCCGATGGCCTTTTATAGCCCAGCCGCAGGCCCTGCTTTGTGTGGTAACAGGGCCTGTTCGGCTCTGGAGGGGGGCCTTTCTGCCACTCGTGCCCAATAAAACGGTAAAGTGACATGATCTAGAGTGACGCCACTTTCCCGCCAAATCGCGTGTTGGCCTTCCATTGACCGAAATACCGTTGCTGCCCTGCGAGTGAAAGTGTCCACTACTATCAACCGGGCCGAACGGCCCCTCGGCTAACGTTCCTCGTTGATCGACGTGCGTGCGACGCGAGCCCATTGCTGAATCTGTAGGAGCGAAAGAGGCCGACTGTTCACGCATAAGCATATGAATATACGAAGATCGTATACATGCATCCGGCGCACTATACGACTAGCAGGTAGTGCGCTGGGAAAAGATAAGGGTCACATGTACAGACTCTATAAATGGACAGATGGACACCAACCCTTGCAACCCCAGTCAGATACGTAAGAGACGAACGCTGAGCCTTACAACCTCAGCGATAGGATAAGAATAGCTAATAGACCCACGCGGAGCCTTACAAACTCTGACATAAAAGATAAGAATATGTAATAGACCAATGCTGAGCCTTACACACTCAGCAATAGACGCACTAGATTTAAGGGTTGAAATTATGCATGAGTCTGGGTATATAAACCCAGGCTCAGAAGAATAAAGATCAATACAAAACTAAACACCATCATAATCAAGTGTATTCGTTCACCGACTATAGTCGGACCTTGACCCCAGTAGCGAGGGTCGCTCCTATAGTACCCGCGTCGCTGTGTGGATCAACTTGTATATGCACTTATATGCATATGAACGCACAGCAAATACGTACGTTCATATACATTAATACGTGCATACCTATATTGCTCCTCACAACATATGTATGTATATTGCGAACAGTTAATTCGAAACCCGTTTTTCTGGAATTCATGCAGCACTCTAGTACATACATATGTATGTATTACAAACAAGTAAAAACGTTGCAGTCGGGCGATACCGATTGCAGAATACTCATTCACAGCCCAAACGCTGTCAACCAGAGTATATAGTGTAATTTTAAAGTCTAGTGTGCAACAAAAAACAGGGCATCCCATAAAAATTTCATCATTGCAGTTAGGATCTTTAAATTAAATATATCATTTTGCTTTTTATTATATATTTATATACATACATATATAGGATACCGGCTCCAAGCTAGCAGTAGTTCAGCCCGATTTTCCTATACATGTGCACACACTCATCGTCTGTTCTATGCGTACAGTAGGCGTAGATATAAAACTATTTCACCCATTTTTATTGAATCAATACAGGAGATACAGTTTTATCCGATTCGCCACGCCCCAAAGGGTGGAGATATATCCGCCATAGCTCGTGATCTTTAATGGTCAACACGGACCTACATACCAAATTTCAGCTTTCTAGCTCTTCAACTAACATGACTTCTAGTATATTGGAAAGTGCATTTTCAGATTTGCCCCTAGTGGGCGGATCGGGAAATTTTTAACACTTTATAAATCGGAGATATACACGAGTATGTGTTCCAAATTTTAAGTCTCTAGCTTCAATAGCGCCGAAATAAATTGCGTTCATGCGGACAAGCGGACAAACGGACGGACGGACAGGCGGACAGACGGACAGGCGGACAGACGGACGGACAGCAAGACGGACATTGCGCAAAACAAATATACTCATTTCACTTTCGTGAATGAGTATATAAAAAAAAAATGATATAACGCTCTCTTACTAGTCGCAATTGGAAAAAATAAATATTTCGAAATAATTGAAATTAACATAAATTGCTCGCTCTGGAGTCAAACCCAAGACTTCTCGATCGAGCGTCCCGCTGCTGGCAACAACGCCACTCCACAATTCAAAAGTGTGATGGCAAAACTGAAATAGGTTTAATACTGCAGCGCCATCTAGCAAGTCTTAACCAATCTAACTACTGAGAATTCTAACACTTCAATCCCAATGTGATTCTTAGAATATGCTAGAATAAGTTCGAATAGATATGTGCACATGTATAGGAAAACTGTTGTGGCTGCTGCACGTGCATTTGTAAATTGGCCAAAAGTTTTGTTAATTTATTAACATTGATTGACGAAGCACTAGTCGAGACTGCTCGACTGCGAAATCCCTTGAACCTTTCTAAGAATTGATATATAAATAATTATTCGCGCATTTCTGCTTACACAAGACATGCACGCATAAACATGCATGGACTGCAGTGTGGGATTACTTTGGCAGCTTAATTGTTTAACACATTTTCTTGTCGGGATCGGGATAATAACATTAAAATGCGTGCATGTGGTAATCAACAAGTCTCTAGTATTTCAAATACGCCTTCTACAATGATATTGTAGAAGGGGTGGATATAGGGGTGAGGGTCAACAAAAACCGTAAATACGACTCTTGTTATTTCAAACCTGCGTTATTTCGAACCTCTCATTAATTCAAAGTTATCACTCAGTAATTCGAACTAAAAATCATTGCTAAGACGCGGTAATTCGTACTCGTATGGTTAAACACGCGACGATTCGAAATATTTTGAGAGTCCCTTGAATTTCGAAATAACGAGAGTCGACTGTATATAAAATAGATATAATAATTAAACTAGATATAATTAAATAACTAGTTTTCGTTAAAATTTGTAATCGATAAGAATATATCGGGAGTAGTCATCGATTTTTGGAGAAAAACTCGATATGCACGTGATATACACGGACTTAGGAAAAAGATTTTATTGAGCATTTACGGTGAATGTAAAGGGGGCGCTAACCTGATGACACGCAGGGTTCGCCACGCCACCTTCTTCCTGTTACGTAAAGTTTCACAAAACCTTATACCTTGATTTCCCATTTTCTATGGGTTAAGGGTAAATATTTTCTATTAATCAGAGGGATGGATTATAATAAAAAGTTAAATCCGAGCTATAATTTGATATATATGGGGACTTACCACAACATTTTAAGTTACAACTGATTTCCGATTTCTAAACTTATTTCGGACGTTTATGAGTATTAAAGTTAAGTCTTAAATTTTACTACAGATATCACGCTTTGGATTATACTCGAAATGGTAATATACTTTAAGTTGAAGAATTTTATTTAGCTTGATTTATCTCGCTAAATAGGAGGATGAAGTAAAAATAATAGGCGAAAACTATATCAGAAACCTACTGCTATTAGAATGATAAAATTATGTATTATATTTTTATATATTTATTTTTTTAGAATTTGCTTTAAAATCCACATCAACAATGATGCACCGATAAGTTCTATTGAAAACTGTCCAATACAAAAACGTAGATCGCCTTTCAGTTCTAAGTGCTCATATGGCTATTCAACACATATTGAAGGATTTCATGATAATTCAGGTTTGTATATTTATTTAATAAATAATAACGAAAGATCCGAAAAAGTTTGAGCACACTCCTTAGTTTTTAAAACGTGTTTTAAATGTTAAGAAAATTTGTATTGTAATTTATATGATAATACCACCAGCTGTTTTTGATGCAGTAGCTATGAACTTTATCCTCAGATCCGTCAACAAGTTACGTACACTCACAAGTCAAGTCCGGTAGGTAAGTCAGCAATGCTTTGGCAGTCTGCAGTCCACTTTTTACAAGCAATGGATGCGTTTCTGCACTGTGGTTCTTCTGATGAAAATTCGTTTATAGCGAACGTTTTTGGGTAAGATAGTTTGTTATTGCGCATAGCTTGCGAACGGCTACCAGGAAGAAAGATCCATGCAAGAAAAAACATCCATAATTTCGAATGCAAAAGCTTCATCACTGATTAACCTTTGGATAACACATTCGCTATATTCGTCTTGTTATCGAAAAATACATTTGCGAATTGGTGGAACACCACCAATTAAAGTTTCCTCGAGCAAGAATATTTGGACGGCGTTGATCTATCAATGATCTGATGGTGGCAAAGCAGCAGCACTGCAGGAACGAAAATGCTGCCCCATATGTATTTGTTAGAGATCAGGATCGGTATATATGATTGCTTTGAAAATAGAGAATAAGTTTTTCGTCTCAGTGTAGCGAAAAATGCAATTAATTATCCATAACGAAAATTAATATGCAAGAGAGAGTTCTCAATGAGAGTGATCAGTCGTGTTTATTTTTATGTAAATTAGATTTTTTTTCTTAGTTAAATAATTATAATAAGGGTTTGAGCCGTGGTTCGCTGTCTTTAATAAATTTGTATACTATGAAAAGTATGTAACAGGCAGAAAGAATCAGACCCCATAAAGTATATATATTGTTAATCAGGACGACGAGCTGAGTCGATATAGCCCCTCCGTCTCTCCGTCCGTCCGTCCGTAAGAGCTAGAAAGCTGAAATGTAGACTTGTGTATATCATCCGTAGTACAAATTTATCATATTTTTTCTATAACTCATCCGATAACTTTTTAATAGAGAGTAATCGAAAAATTGATTTTGTTTTTTCAGTCTAATTTGAACACTTTTAGACCTGGATTTAGACATCATATTTACTGTGTATATATATATGAATACTTGAGTTTGTAATGTACAGATTTTGGCTACCACGCCCCCTTGGCCCACATATTTGTAAAAGGAGTATTTCAAATACTAGAGACTTGTGCTTTGACACATGCACGCATTTTAATGCTATGATCACGATCTACTAGTTTCACACCCCCTATCTGTCTGTCCATATGTTTCAACGCGTCGATTTCAGAAGATATAAAAGCTAGAGACTTGAATTCCTGGGAATTTCCTGGAAATTTCCTGGATTTGAACATATAGCGCGGATATCGAGTTTATCTCCAATAATCTATAAATCTATCCAAAGCTTCTGGCTCTTTTGCAGTTTGCCACGCCCCCTGTAGGCGGACATATATCCGTCGACGCCTTTTGGTCTTGGGTGGTCAGCCCGAATATATATACAAAATTTGAGGTCTCTAGCATCAATACTGTCTACTGCATCAATACAATATATTAAAGAAATTTGTGAGCATGTAAATGAATGAGAATTGCCTCTTGCGTTGGGTGACTTTAATATTCCAATTACTTCTTGGTCCTAACCTTGTAATGCAAATTAATTTATTCCGACAATCGATCACTATCTTTTTGATGAATTGTTTAATCTGTCTATGTTTCAGATGAGCTCTATTTCTAATCATCTCCATCGAACATTAGATCTTGTGTTCATTAATCATGATTCCATAATTAATGTCTTGAGATCAACTTTAGAGGTTTTATTATCTGTTGATAATCCTCTAACTGATACTCCTTTATCTTCTAAATTAATTCGCTGTTATCGGTAATACAATTTTGTTTGGCTGAACGAATTAATTATTTCAACGAATTAGTGTTTCATAATACCTTAAGCTGGATGTTAGTGTCCCTCTCTGTCGTATTTAGTCTGTTTCAAATAAGCCACCTTGGTTTAATAAGACTCTTTCGATCTTAAGAAACATTAAAATTAAATGTTTTAAAAATTATAAAAAGTCTGGTTCAAGTGTTGACTGGTCAAAATATTCCATAGCCAAGTCAAATTTCAATCTTTATACCATGAACCCATTTTCAATGGGAAATCAGGGTATAATGTTTTGTTTTTAAATGAATGTAACAGGCAGAAGGAGGCGTGGCAGACCCCACAAAGTATTTATATTCTTGATCAGGGCGACGAGCTGATTTGCTTTAGCACTGTCTGTCCGTCTGTCCGTCTGTCAGAATGTTTGAACGCGTCGATTTCAGAAGACACAAGAGCTAGAGACCTCAATTTTTTTGTAAAGTGTCCGTGTATACCACGCGGATATCGAGTTTTGCTTTAAAAATCAATAACTTACTCCGTTATTTTTTTATCGATTAAAAACCTTATCGAAAATCAATTATAAAATTATATCTCCTCCAACTTTAAAGCTAAATTCTCCAAATTTGTAATGTAGATTTATATGCCATTTTTAAATTTCGATCCACCCCCTCACCCATATATTTGTAAAAGCCGTATTTCAAATACTAAAGACTTTGGCAAGTTCAGGTATTGTATTATTATAATCACGATCTGAAAATTTTATGAAGATCGTATGTCCACAAGAAAATTGATTAAACAATTAAGTTCTCATAGTAAGCGCACACTGCAGCCCATGCGTATTCATGCGTGGGTGCTTGTGTGTGTATGCGTGTGTGTGCGTGCGTATGTGTGTGTGTGTGTATGTGTGTGTGTGTGTTTGCGTGCGTACGTGTTTCTTGTGTAAGCAGAAAGACGCGAAAAATGATTGAAATAGCTATTGCTATTGTCTGCGATGACTCCTTCTGCCCGTTACATACTTTTTCATAAAACCATTATACCCTGATTTTCCATTTTCAATGGGTTTAGGGTATAAAACAAGTAAGAAGACTCTAGTCGAGACTGCTCGATTAATTTCTAGACGTACGTACGTACGCACGTAATCTTAATGAAACTTTCAGAACATAATAATAATAATAACAAGTAAGAAGACTCTAGTCGAGACTGCTCTACTAGGAGATACCCTGAACCCTCTAAGCTGATATTCTAATCATTCTGCACTTCTTTTATGCACACATACATACACATACATCAACACGCACGCATAAGCCTGCGCTCTGCTAACTGCGCAGTAAGCAGCGACTGCGCTTGGGCTGCGCTGCAGTGTGGGCAACATTATAAGAATTTATTTGTTGAATAATTAAATTTCTAGACGTACAATCTCAATGAAACTTTCAGAACATAATCATAATGTATGTACATTCCAAAGCACAAATCTCTAGTACTTGACATACGCCTTTTACAACGGTGAGAGTGGGAGGTTGGATATAGGGCTGGGGGGTAAATTACAACAAAAACCGAAATTATATAAAATATATATAAGTCTACATTAAAAATTTGGAAGCTCTAGCTCTAAGGGTGTAGGAGATATAATTAAATAACTAGCTTTCGATAAGGTTTTTGATCGATAATAAAATATCTGGAGTAGTTATCGATATAAAAAGAAAAACTTTATATCCGCGTGATATACACGGACCTAGGAAAAAAAGTCAAGTCTCTAGCTCTTATATCTTCTGAGATCGACGCGTTCATACATACGGACGGACGGACAGGGTCAAATCGACTCAGCTCGTCGCCCTGATCAAGAATATATATACTTTGTGGGGTCTGCCACGCCTCCTTCTGCCTGTTACATACTTTTAACAAAACCATTATATCCTGATTTCCCATTTTCAATGGATTCAGGGTATAACAAGTAAGAAAACTCTAGTCGAGAGTGCTCGACTAGATACTACCCTGAACCCAACATATAAAAATGCCCATTTAGTATGGCTGAAATTTCAATTTCGATGTATTTAAAAATATAAATAAAATACCAAACTCATTTAATAAAATATAAAAATATTTTGAAACAATTAAAAAAGTTAACATCAGCTGCACCGATCGGGATTCGAACCACAACTTCTCGATCGATCGTCATGCAGCTAACACACTAGGCCACTTCACTCCTGCTAGTGGCGCTGGCAAAACTCAAATAGATTCACTGCTGTAGCGCCATCAACGCACATAAAGTATAGTTAAAATTTCAATTTCGGTGTATTTAAAAATATAAATTAAATAGAAAACTCATTTATGAAAATATAAAAATATTTTGAAACAATTAAAAACAACTAACATCAGTTGCATCGATCGGGATTCGAATCGCGACTTCTCGATCGAGCGTCATGCAGCTAACACACTAGGCCACCCCACTCCTGCTAGTGACGCTGGCAGAACTGAAATAGATTCACTGCTGCTGCGCCATCTACCAAAACTAAACAAAACTAACAGCTGATGTGATTCAACGAATGTTTCTAGAAGAAGTTTGAATGTATGTGTGCACACGCATACGATGCTGTTGTAGCTGCTGCACGTGCGTTTGTTAATTGGCCAAATATTTGATTATTTTTTATTAATTTTTGACTGAACGGAATTTAATGAAACTTTCAGAATATGATCTACATATTATATTGAATATTTGAGAAATTTAAAAAAAAAGAAAAATCATTCACAATTAGCTATAGTGGCATCTGATTTGAACTTGAATGTTTTTACTCGATAAAAACATAACGAGATGATTTATCGAATTTTAAAAGCAAACTCGACGTCCGCGCAGTATATACGGTCATATAAAAAAAAATCAAGTCCTAGCTCTTATATCTTCGGAAATCGACGCGTTCAAACATACGGACAGATGGACAGACGGACAGACAGACAGACGGACAGGGCCAAATCGACTCAGCTCGTCGCCCTGATCAAGAATATATATACTTTGTGGGGTCTGCCACGCCTCCTTCTGCCTGTTACATACATTTCAACAAAACCATTATACCCTGATTTCCCATTTTCAATGGGTTCAGGGTATAAAAAGGGAAGAATGCCCACAAGCCACCAATGAAATTTGTGATGTTTACGGTGACGGTGCTATATCAGTTCGTGTAGCACAACAATGGTTCGCTCGCTTCCGTTCTGGAAATTTCGATGTGAAAGATGTATCTCGCTCTGGTCGACCAATCTTTAAAAAAGTCGATGAAATTATGGGAAGGATTGACCAGGACCGTCACAAAAGCAGCCATGACATCGCCAATGAACTAAACATTCATCATGAAACGGTTTTGAGCCATTTAACAAAAAGAAGCTCGATGTATGGATACCGCTTGAATTGTCTGTGAAAAATTTATTGGACCGAATTAACATATGCGATTCTTTGCTGAAACGAAATGAAGTCGAACCATTTCTGAAATGAATGCTAACAGGAGACGAAAAATGGATCAAATACGACAATAATATGCGAAAAAGATCATGGTGCACGAGTGGTGAAGCTCAACAAATGGTAGCAAAGACTCCTGTCTTTGAAAGAAAGGTAATGCTGTGTGTTTGGTGGGATTGGAAAGGAATTATCCACTATGCGCTGCTTCAGCCTGGTCGAACGATTGATTCGAATCTTTACTGTGAGCAACTGATGAGATTGAAGCAACCAATCAGAAAAAAACAGCCAGAGCTACAACAGAAAGGGCATCGTGTTCCATCAGGACAAAGCCAGACCATACACATCTTAACAGAACTCCCTTAATGGAGTAAAGTTGGTTTCAAGAGAAGCCTCTGAAAATTACTTGGAGCAGTTTTTCAAAGAGAAACCACAAAAGTTTTACACGAATGAAATTATGTCTCTAGTGGAAAAATGGCAGAAGGTGGTCGACCAAAATGATGCAATTTGATTTAATAAAGTTTATTATTTATTTATTTATTTATTTTTTTTTTATTTCTTAAAGCTATTGACAAAAAGAGAGTCAATTTAAATTAAAAACAAGTAAGAAGACTATAGTCGAAACTGCTCGACAAGGAGATACCCTGAAACCTCCAATCTGATATTCTAATCACTGCACTTATTTTAGGCACCCATACATACACACGCACGTATTAGAACGCTCTCTGCTAACTGCGAAGTAAGCAGCGATTGCGCTTGGGCTGCGCTGCATTGTGGGCAATATTATAAGAATTAATTTGTTGAATAATTTAATTCCTAGACGTACAATCTTAATAGAACTTTCAGAATATAATCATAATGTTCAAATGTATGTACATTCATAAGCAACAGTCTCTAGTATTTCAAATACGCCTTTTACAAATGTGAGGGGGGTGGAGGGTAAATTACAATGAAAATCGAAATTATATAAAATGCATATAAGTATACATTTAAAATTTGGAAGCTCTAGCTCTACAGGTGCAGATATGGTTTTTGATCGATAATAAAATATCGGGAGTAGTTATCGATATACAGAGAAAAACTTGATATGCGCGTGATATACACGGACCTAGGAAAAAAATTTCAAATCTCTAGCTCTTATATCTTCTGAGATCCACGCGTTCATACATACGGACGGAAAAACGGACGGACGGACGGACAGACAGACGGACAGGGCCAAATCGACTTAGCTCGTCACCCTGATCAAGAATATATATACTTTGTGGGGTCTGCCACGCCTCCTTCTGCCTGTTACATACTTTTAACAAAACCATTATACTCTGACTTCCCATTGAAAATGCGTTCAGGGTATACTAAAAAAGCAAATTATTAAAAACACAGTGAACAACGGATCAAACCTTGCACAGGAAAATATAGATATTTCCAATATTCAACCGAATGGCAATTATGTGAAATTTAATAAGAATATTTAACTAAGAAAACAAGAATAATTGCAGAGCACAAAAGTAAACAGGCATACATACACACACACGCATACACACACACACATACACACACACACATACACACACAAGCACCCACGCATAAACACGCATGGGCTGCAGTGTTGCCTTACTATTAGAACTTAATTGTTTTTGTGGACATACGATCTTCATGAAACTTTCAGATTATGATAACAACATGGACATGCATGTATTTGCTAAAGCACAAGTCTCTAGTATTTGAAATACGCTTTTTACAAAAGTGATGGTGAGGGGGTGGATATGGGGTGGGGGATAAATTTTAACAAAAACCGAAATTGCATATTAGCATACATAAAAAATTTGGAGACTAGCAATAAAGGTGTAGGAGATATAATTTTATAACTGGTTTTCGATAAGGTTTTTTATCGATAAAAAAAGATCGGGATGAGTTATCGATTTTTAATAATAAACTTGATATGCGCGCTGTAATTACGGACATTTTAAACAAAATTTGAAGTCTCTAGCTCTTATATCTTCTGAAATCGACGCGTTCATACATACGGACAGACGGACAGACGGACGGACAGACAGACGGACAGGGCCAAATTAACTCAGCTCGTCGCCCTGATCAAGAATATATATACTTTATGGGGTCTGCCACGCCTCCTTCTGCCTGTTACATACATTTCAACGAAACCATTATACCCTGATTTCCCATTGAAAATGTGTTCAGGGTATAAAAAGGATGGAAATCTGATATATCCAATTATAGAGGCATTGCGAAATTATCTTTTATTCCGAAGTTATTTGCAAAATTATAACATCGGCCTTGCAATGTTTTTGCAAATCTATTATTCAACCATCCCAACATGGTTTTGTTCAGAATCGATCGACGTCCTCTAATTTACTAGAATTTACTTCCCTTGTCAATGACAGTTTTTCTACAAAAATTCAAACTGATGATAACATAATTATACTGACTTCAGTAAAGCATTTGACTCAGTTCATCACCAGATACTAATTCTAAAGCTTGAACTTGGTGTTTTCTTTGACTGTAAACTTAATTTTAATCTCATATTTCTACAGTCATTAATGAAGCCAAAAGTGTGCTTGACTTTATTCATTCAAGGAGTCTCGACTTGAGGAGTCTTACTCACAACGTAAAATTTATAAATATTACTTGTACGTTAAATAATAAGTTTGCATCATAAAAATTCACTATTTACATGAAAAACAATATATATGTATATATTATGGTTATATTTGACAAAGAATAAACTTCTTATTTCTTTATGCATACCTAGAATATACAGTAACTTTTTATCATACTAAGTTGAGTCTTTAATTTAGTTTACTATACATTCCTTCTGCTTCGACCTTAATACTATTAAACATATGTTTTTCTTTATTCTTTTAGATAAAAGCGATTTTTTTCTGCCAGGGGATACTGATGAAATTGTCGACTTCTGTGAAAGCTGTAAGCAATTATCCAACATTAAAATTTTGGCTTCAATTCCGGTTATTAAAATTGTAATAGAGTAAGTATAGTTTAATTTGATCTTGGAATATATATTTAAATAAATCCCCGGTGTGGGTAACAATATGAGAATTTACTTGATGAATAAGTTCTCCTGTACTACCTGTAGACTAACTAAAATGCATTTTCCGATATACCAGAAATCATGTTTGTTGAAGAGCTAGAAAGCTGAAATTTGGTATGTAGGTCCGCGCCGACCACCCAAGATCACAAGCTATGGCGGATATATCTCCGCCCATTAGGGGCGTGGCAAATCGGATAAAACTGTATCTCCTAAAGTTATAAACCTAGAATGCTGAAATTTATATATTATATTGAATATTTGAGAAATTTAAAAAAAAAGAAAAATCATTCACAATTAGCTATAGTGGCATCTGATTTGAACTTGAATGTTTTTACTCGATAAAAACATAACGAGATGATTTATCGAATTTTAAAAGCAAACTCGACGTCCGCGCAGTATATACGGTCATATAAAAAAAAATCAAGTCCTAGCTCTTATATCTTCGGAAATCGACGCGTTCAAACATACGGACAGATGGACAGACGGACAGACAGACAGACGGACAGGGCCAAATCGACTCAGCTCGTCGCCCTGATCAAGAATATATATACTTTGTGAGGTCTGCCACGCCTCCTTCTGCCTGTTACATACATTTCAACAAAACCATTATACCCTGATTTCCCATTTTCAATGGGTTCAGGGTATAAAAAGGGAAGAATGCCCACAAGCCACCAATGAAATTTGTGATGTTTACGGTGACGGTGCTATATCAGTTCGTGTAGCACAACAATGGTTCGCTCGCTTCCGTTCTGGAAATTTCGATGTGAAAGATGTATCTCGCTCTGGTCGACCAATCTTTAAAAAAGTCGATGAAATTATGGGAAGGATTGACCAGGACCGTCACAAAAGCAGCCATGACATCGCCAATGAACTAAACATTCATCATGAAACGGTTTTGAGCCATTTAACAAAAAGAAGCTCGATGTATGGATACCGCTTGAATTGTCTGTGAAAAATTTATTGGACCGAATTAACATATGCGATTCTTTGCTGAAACGAAATGAAGTCGAACCATTTCTGAAATGAATGCTAACAGGAGACGAAAAATGGATCAAATACGACAATAATATGCGAAAAAGATCATGGTGCACGAGTGGTGAAGCTCAACAAATGGTAGCAAAGACTCCTGTCTTTGAAAGAAAGGTAATGCTGTGTGTTTGGTGGGATTGGAAAGGAATTATCCACTATGCGCTGCTTCAGCCTGGTCGAACGATTGATTCGAATCTTTACTGTGAGCAACTGATGAGATTGAAGCAACCAATCAGAAAAAAACAGCCAGAGCTACAACAGAAAGGGCATCGTGTTCCATCAGGACAAAGCCAGACCATACACATCTTAACAGAACTCCCTTAATGGAGTAAAGTTGGTTTCAAGAGAAGCCTCTGAAAATTACTTGGAGCAGTTTTTCAAAGAGAAACCACAAAAGTTTTACACGAATGAAATTATGTCTCTAGTGGAAAAATGGCAGAAGGTGGTCGACCAAAATGATGCAATTTGATTTAATAAAGTTTATTATTTATTTATTTATTTTTTTTTTTTTATTTCTTAAAGCTATTGACAAAAAGAGAGTCAATTTAAATTAAAAACATCACAAGCTATGGCGGATATATCTCCGCCCATTAGGGGCGTGGCAAATCGGATAAAACTGTATCTCCTAAAGTTATAAACCTAGAATGCTGAAATTTTGCATGTAAGCTGATGTTTTAATTCTATGAAGATAGGTGAAAAAATTATATATCTACGCTCACTAGGGGCGTGGCAAATCGGACCTGAAGATATAGTGATTATTCGAATTCTGCTATATTTCAGGCACTATTGATGCTAGAGACCTGAAATTTTGTATATATACGCGGGTTGACCACCCACGTCCAACGAGCTATGGTAGATATTTGTCCGCCTATAGGGGGCGTGGCAAACCGCAAAAGTTTATATCTCCTACAGCTTAAGAGCTAGAAGCTTCAAATTTGGATAGTTAAGTTACTGGTGGCCTCCTCTATCGATGCCCCAAAAATAATTTTTAAGCCTCTTTAGGGGCGTGGCATATCGAAAAATACCCTGTAATTTTCACATTTTTTGAGCGTAAGAATTCAAATTTTGCATTTAGGTAACCGGTTGCTCGTTCTAAGAACTGGCTAAAATTGAGGAGTCTACGGCCACTAGGGGCGTGGCAATCGGCATTTACAGTGCCCGAATAGCGACATTTATATGCGTCAGCCATCTATTTATGTATATGTACACATAAGTAGGCTTAATAGGCATTGATAGCACGGAAGGAAACATTTTTATAAAATTAAAAAAATATAAAAAAAGCTAAAATAACAAAAATTTGCAATTTACAAAAAAGTGTTTTCAGCGGGATTTGAACTCGCACCCAACCCAAATAGCATGTTTGTCAAAATAGCTAAAATAAAGATCGTCGGCGCTTCAGCCAACAGCACCACCGCGTCGTTTCAATCAGTAGTAGTTAAAACGAAATCATATTATTGTTATGACGCCACATAGCAAAGAAAAGCCAGTGTAGCGGCTGGAAATTCAAAAACAATGCAAAGACAAATCAATCGCAACGGGATTCTCAGAATATGCTAGAGCACGCATTTATGTGTACATACATACACACATACAAATGAGCGCGTGTATAAGGCTGGAATGCTTGATGCTATGCGTGCAGGCTTACATATATAATTATACTAGCAGTCCCAGCAAGCGTTGCATTGCCCTACCCTTATTTCTAGGTAAAAAATGATTAAAAGGTATGTTGTTCAGGTTGGGATACACTCTAATTAATTTATTAATCAGATTTTCATTCAAGCACCTTGTGGTAAACGACATTCTTCGTTTTTTGGTCAGGTGCAAGAACAAATAATGCGGATGGTTTGCCAACACGTGAGCATGCCACGTACAATTGACCATGAGAAAAACACGCATTTTCTAGATTGAGGCCACAAATAGTCAAAGATTGGCCCTGTGATTTGTTGATCGTCATGGCGAAGGCAAGACGAATCGGGAATTGAATTCGTTTAAACTCAAAGGGCATATCTGTTGGGATCATCGGAATCCTTGGAATAAGAACTTCCTCATCTTTAAATTTTCCTTTGAGTATCGACGCGTGAATAACATTGCTCAACAGTTTTCTTATTACTAAACGCGTTCCATTGCACAGTTTTGGTTGGTTTAAATTTCTAAGCATGATAACTACCGAGCCAACCTTCAGTTGTAAATTGTGCGGTGGTAAACCAGGCACATCCAAGGATTTCAAAAATTCAGTTGGATAATTAGTGGCTTCATCTTCGTTTGTTACACAGTCGATAGATTTAAATGAATACGAACGCAATTTAGCTTGATTCAAACGGATGAAAGTCAGGCGCTCCGTTTCGATTTTCACGTACATGTCAACGCAGTATTGTTGAAACAGTCGACGAAATCGCAACAAATAATTGTCAGAATTTTCACGAATCATCAAACGATATGCGTAATAATTCATAGAACTAACCTTCTTGCCAGTTTCCTCACCTGAAACAAATGCAGTAAAAATTGTATTTTAGAGCCCCTAATAGGTTTACGACTCTTACAGCTACTCTCTACTAAATTAAGAGTGATAACTTTTTTTGTGTACCAAAAGCAAACAGAATAAAATGTATATATAAAGTTAAAATGAAAACAATGATTGATCTTACCATTCAATGGATTTATCATTTTGATATTAAAGTGATATCCATCGTCTCCTTGCCAAAACATCAGCGGGTATTGTAAAGCGTCATATGAACGGTGCGTTTCAGATATTCTTTGTAGTTGCGCAGCACTGCGTCGTGTAAGCACAATATCGCGTGCTTCCAAGCTTGAACAACTTGACCAATGCATGATGTTCATGAAGCATTTGCTGCAAATCTTGGAGAATTGCTCTTTTCATCGCAGTGTTGATTTCTTGGCGCCGATCAAGTTGCTCTTCCATATTGCCCATGAAGTATATTTGCAAGAATTTGTGCTGTTCATCTTCAATAGGTTGCAATGATCCAATGCGATGGCAAATCTGGCCTTGAATCTTTACATTCAAAGCCATAGTTATAGTTAGATTTACAAACACTTTTTACAGAAATCTAACCAACTACATTATCCCAAATAAGAAAATAAAATTTTTAACGTAAATTACCTTAAATGTCGGATTATATCCGTGTTCTTCAATAATTTCCGCCCCAAATGAAGTCATTTGGAAACAGGCATTGTATTTTTGAGTGTTCGCTAGAAAATGTCGTGATTCTAGTGTTTCGCCATAAAGCAGGGAACGCAATGGCTCTGGTGGCGAGACCACTAATGGCAATGTCACTTTACCACTAAGGCAGCACAAACCGGGCGTTTCACCAGCAAACTTCAATGCGCCACAATGCTGGCAAACAACGTCCATTGGACCAATGCAAACTAAACGATTCAAGCTGTAGTCAATGGTACAATCATATCGAAACGCTGCTCGATTCAAATCAATCCTTGAACCATTTCTTATTGCCGTTTCACGGGCTGCCTCTCTTTGAGAAGCACGAATTAAGGCCCTTCTTTGCTGGGTACTAACGCGGCGCCTTTCTTGTTCTTCGTCAGATAATTGACTCGCGGTATTCCGTAGCCTAATTGCACTATGGGTCCGCTGGGAAAGATTAGATCTTCTAGGACGCGGCATTTTCATTAATAGTAATACTGAATATGCACAATCGCACAAAACCACATAAAATATCGAGAAATCGAGAAATATAGATAAAAATTATTTACAAAAATAATGTCGAGAAATACAAATATAAATTATTTACAAAAATAATGTCTGAGAAAAACAAATTCAACAATACCTACCTGAACTTTCGAGATATTTTGCTTTTGTCCGTATGCGTATTGTTTTTCAAAATTTTTTTTTTTAACAAATGTGCTTTTTTATGAATAGTCAGGTTCGCCTGAGG